CAGCCGCCAAACAGGTACAACTCCACCGACAAAAAGGCCGCCCAAAGCAGGACCATCGGGAGGCAGCCCTGGTTGAAGTAGACAGAGGCCTTCAGATCTGGATCGGGCGCCGCCGACCACGCCGGAGCCCGGACCAAGGCCGCCGCCCCGGCGTCCCATCCGCCGCCCGCAGCCGACGCAGCCAGAACCATGGTGATGGAGATCCAGGAGGCAGGCTGGGGGACCTCAACCCCGCCCAAACTCGTCGGGCAGAAACCACCAGGCCGCAGCCTCGGGGCCGCCGACGACGCTCCCGCGGCCGCCACCCGCACGGAGGCGCAACCTCAGATCCGTCACACGCCGCCTGCACCGCGATTCCCAACCCAGCGTCCGAACTACGCCGCCGGAAACCGAACGCGCCCGCGCCGCGCCTTGCGCGCCCTCGCCACGCCGTCCCGAACACGGCAACCCTCGCCGGTGCGCGCACCCACGCGAGCGCCGCCCCGAGTCCCCGCTCGAACGAGCGGCCCGCGCCGCCCCTGCTCGAACTGGAGGAGGGAAGGGCCCCGCCGCCGCCGAGCCGCGCGGGCTTCGCCCGGCGACGTCCGCCGGCGGCGGCGAGGGGAGGAGGGGCCGGAGGGGCCTGCGCTGGCGGCGGCTAGGGTAATGCAATGTTAGCTTACATTAGTGTTGTAATCCTTTCAACTGAGTATGTGGTTACTAGGTTGATGCAACAAAAAAAAAAAGATATGGAGGCAGCCGTTTGACATCTTTGTGTTTGTGTATACGACAAGCTCTATATTCATATGAAGTGCACTCAATATGGCGGATGGCGATTGTAAATATGATGAATCTATTAAAGTTGATCCAAGTATACTTTTAGTAAAGGGAAGACGGAATCGTACTACACTCTACAAGCAAGTACGTTCTGCTCGAGATCTTGGAGACACCAATGCAGTGAGCCAATGACGTTGCGTCGATGCAAGGATGATTGAATTTTCCATGTGTACAATAGATCTTGTAGATGTGTTCTCAGTATTTCGTGGATGCATGCTGCACATGCACACCCTCACTATAAGGATGAGCACACCATGACACCAAAAGATATGTACAGCTAGGACAACAACATTCCGTGGAGGGTGGCATTTGGGTGCCCCGGCATCGGCTTTAACAGTAAATTGAAAATATAGTTTTTTTTCTAAAAAACATTTGTATTTTTTTAGCATCAAAGATGGTCGAGTGTATTAGGAGCGTGTAAAATTTCATGGGCAAATGATTTAATGGAGCTTTAGGCAAAATGAAAAGAACCCAAAAAATTGGCTGCCAAAGTTTTTTTGTTGTTGAGAAAATGCATTTTTCAGAAGTACCCACAAAGAAACATGGATGTCGTCTGTCATCGCCGATTCCGAGGAACCAATATTGCGTCTTTGACCACACCATCATGCCACTAGGGGTATGAATAGTAGAAGAACCCATTGAGACAAACAAGTGTCCAAATTGTAGCCCATAGGCTCAGATTTGGCTGACTTTCTTGACTCCTCCCTTGCACGTGTACGTCATGCTCGGTGACTCTCTATCAAATTACTTTTAAAAATAATCTACCCTTGGTGCGTCCTAGATAGCTCATGAACATCATCTACAGGCCATAAGTCGTCGTTGGCCGCACAGAAGGAAGAATAAGGCGGAGACAGACTCTTATGTTGGGTCAACCTCATTTGAGAAGTTAAGTTTAGGGGAAGGGATGGGTGGAAAATAGCTTAATCTATGAAAATTTGAAGGATTAAGGTTGAGGAATAGTTTAGGAGATTAAAGGAGATGGAAAGGGCTAGATATGCCCTTAGATGGATGTCTTTCAGGAGAGTGCACGCCACTTCTTTGCGGCAAACTCTACATTTATTTATTTTTTGCCTGTTTTTATCATGCATACTTACTATACTCAAAGCGCAGATGGATACACCTAAAATTATGTACAATAGTATTTATGTGGAACACCCTACATTATATCTTTATCTTTACCTAATATTAAAGGGAGGAGCCTTTCATAATTCTTCATACTCCCTCCATCACAGTTTAAAGGGCGTACCTCACATCTCTCTGGGCCCAAGGTCGCTAGCGATTGGCAGGAATAAATGATGCGCTGGAGCTGCGGTAGTTAAGGATATGTGCCTAATTAATCGCCAAACAAACTCATAATAACCTCCCGGTCCAATAAAAGGCCTTGCACAGCTATGCATGCAAACAAAACCGATTCACACCTCCACCTAAAGTTTCAGTTCACACCATGCATGCGCACCACGAAGGCAAGCGGAAGGAGTAATTTCAGCGGGCTAATTAATGACCTGCGCCCTATTTCCCTCTAATTGTGAAAAAAATTGGTTTTGGAGATACACCCTTTAAACTGTGATGAAGGGAGTAGATCACCTCTTTACATCCGTTGATTTTATATTAATCATGATGATTGACGCTTGAGATTTATAAAGAGAAAGGTTTTTTTTTCTCTTTTAAAAAAGGTAAGTTCTCTATTCCACCTCTTTTCGTCTAGCTATCACGATGGATGATCCATCTATCGTCTCTCCCCCCGATCGAGCCATCTCATGTGTCTGGCCCAACTCGATCAACTCAAGCCCAGCCAGCCGTGAAGCCCTTCCCACGTTCCATCTCTTCCTTGCCTAAAAAAAAACGTTCCATCTCTTCCCTGCAAAAAAATAAAAAAATTCTTCCCCAAGTCTCGTTTCTTTAAAAAAGAAACGTACGCACATCGCCAAAAGGAGGAGGCTAATGCGGTATCCTTCCCATCCGATCGAGCCCTGGATCCTCCGATCCGATGGCCCTTTCTTCAGCTTCCTTACATCGTGAGATCCAGAGGACGCAAGACGGACGACGCGGACGATGCGACGAAGCGGAGGACGCAGCCCTAGCTAGCCTGGCACCACGGCAACGCGGACGGCGCAGAAGAAGCACCGCTAGCTAGCACGGCACAACGGCGACGCAGACGGCGCAAAGGACGCAGACACACGTGACGGGTCCGACGAGTGCATGCAATGTTTACCTGGGGTTGTTAATGCCTTGCGTGGCAGATTCGAAATCAATGGGGTAGTGGCAGATTATTTGAGCATAGATCTGGATTATGGGCCGTCCCACAGTGACACTGCGAATGAGAGGCTATAGGTGCTATGGAGGCGACTGTGGGGATTGGGGGTGATTGCTGTAGCTGCTGTGGAGATATTTAAGACTTAATTAGTACAGTACTTAACTTGCAACATTTGCATGATGTGCTCATACACACACGTGCGCATAGGATTAGATCCTATATCCATGTGAAAAGATTCAAATATAGTTGCACAGAAGCGTAGTTCATTAAATTATAAAGTTCAGAAAAGAGAATTGGATATAATTTGTTGGAAGACCGCCTACATGCGGATCATCGCCAACTGTCGTTCATCTTCTCCGACTACGAGTTGTGATAAGATCAGGCGGAGGACTACTTCAATGAGCTGCCCGACATGGAGTGGCGGAGGACATGGTCACCGGCGCCATGACAATGAGGCACTGTAGCAGCTACACCCGCGCCGCCCCCTCCAGGCCATCAAGCTGGAACTCGCTCTAATAGCTCAATCTTCCCGGCAGAAGTGCTTCCTGATCAAGTACGTTCTGGTGTTGATGTCCTGGTGCATGCGAGGAGTGGGCGGCTAGCACTGGCCGGCAGCAGCAGCTTCATCATCTGCTTTATGTTTGTTTTGGTCTGTGTATACCTGTCTGCTGATGCATGCAGTGATATGAATCATACAGGTTTGATCTACACCCGTCTTCCAAAAACTTAATGCTTGATTATCACTATGAGTATGCTTTATACATATTTTTTGTCCAAAGAAAAAAAATGTGAGTGAAATATCCAAAGCAAGTATGAACAGTAATAACTTAAAAAAATAGATATAACACCCTCACGAATCTTTTTTTGTCTAAAGCGTATGCATCAAATTTAAAAGCATTAAGTTTGATGCGTATGACTCGAAAGAGATTCATTTTTTTAGCTCCGGGTGTCCCTACACCCTCACGAACAGTAATAACTTTAGAAAGTTTAGAAAACAAAGTAAAAAAAAGGAATTCAGGACATCAAATATGCTAAAAGTTTTAAGCACTGCTTTTTTTGTCATGTATTGAGCTCATTGGACTTTGGTTTTTTAATATATTTTTATTACTGTTTATGGCTGTGTAGGGTTACCTGGGAATGATCACACCTTTTTCTCGTTAATAACTGAAAGCACATGGGTTCATATTGTTGTCTAACATCAACCATAGATCAAAATCTTTGGTGAAGTGGTCCGCTGTAGTTTCTTTTTCTGCTCATGCAATCTTCCGGATGCTACCTAGATGTGGCAATGGTGGGTGTGCGTCTTTAGCACAATGAGTCAGAATCATAATCGAATCAATAGCGAAGATAGCATATCGGATAGGAAGAATCTTTGTTGAAAGTTTCAACCAGGTGGCCTTGATCTCGTCAAATAGAAATGATGACCCACTCTTTTTTTTTTGCCCGGCCAATTCTTATTTATGGTAACTGATGTTTGCTTTGTAGGGAACCACAAGTGCACAATATAGTATTTTCTTTGGTTGTAGAAATATGCACCATTGGACTTCTTTGCCGGTGGGTCGATGCCTTGAGAAGGTGCAAATACGATGGAAGATCGATTTGGGCTTCAATTTTATTCATGCCGAGGGGAGGAGGTACGGAGGAGAATCCAAGCCAAGGAGAGAAGATTCAAGCCCAGGCCCTTGAGAGCTTCATGTTAAAATAGAAAGCGTGGACCTGTTTGGGCTGGGCAGAGGGGTTGAGGCAGGCTTATTGCCTTACGTGCGAGTAACTTCTTCTCCCGTTGCAACGCACGGACATATTACCTAGTTATATATCATGCATGCATCAATACTATTTATCTTCGATCATTTTCTTATATATACAACATACATTTTGGTTCATGGTTAAACATGTATGATAATATACGCCATTATTGTGCTACAATCTACTAGTGATGTAGACGCAGTCCTGCCTTTTGCTTCATGACGTTCTCCAGTTCTTCACAAAATGCTGGACACTCCTTGCTCATCGTTCGTTGGGTTCTCTGTTTCAATGGGAAATGTGATGGAGTTGTAAGTTCTTGGGAATAAAATTGCCATTCCATGGTTGATCATAATGACATATTAAGATACAATTTAAAAGTTTATGGCACATTTGTAGTGTCACTACTTAGTGTATTAGAAAAAATGGATAACACGTAGGAATCCACATAAAGATTCATAAAAATATCTTCCAAATATCCATTTTTCGCTGGTACAACTAATAGACTCTCGAAGGAGTAGAGGCCTAGAGAGTGGGAAAAAGATCCATGCATTCTATCGCATTCATATATGTCATTGCCTAACGAATTAAGGGGATGTTCCTTTCTTTACTTGGTACACTTCCCATGCTTAATGGAGTCAGTTGGCCACACAAGCAAGACATCATTTCAAGAGTTTTGGTATTTAATCATGTCATAATATATCCTTTTCCCTTGACATAAATCCAAATACAACAAGCTTGATCCATTCCATTAGTTGTATCAACATGATCATGATGCCCCCTCCCACCCTTTAGTTCAGGATGGAAAGGATGTGAGAAAAAACAAGACCAATCAAGGTGCATGTGGGTCTAGCTAAATTGTATTAAGACCCTGGCACATTTAGATTTAGTGTAGTATGAACGAACCCAGCCTATGCGGCTACGGTAAGAAGCAAAGTCCTCATCCAACCAAGTGCTCATGTCTCCCATGTCAAAAGAAAGTACCAAACATTGGGAACATGTTCTCTTTGACAAGTGTGTTATGATTGATCACTAAGGAATGTTGATATGTTCGTAGTTTGAATCCTTGGAGCCCATAATATGTTTTCGACAAAAGGGTGGACTTTATGAACTCAAAATAAAGCATCAAATGGATACAAATGCAATGAGCACACAGCCGGCCTCTGCATAATTAGGATGCATGCGACCATAACCTGAACCACACAAATGCACAAAAACTAATACAAGACCGAAGCTATTCTGAGGTGGAGGAAAAAAAGAAACCCCAAAGCGATTAAAACATTGACGATGGACTACTACAACGACCATATCTGCAAAAACCATGTCTTCACATCATAAGGATAATGAGAAAGGTTCTCCAGTAGTAAAGTCTCAATGAAGGGAATAGTGCTCAAGCGCCAACGTCGTCTAATAGAACCACCAATAGGGAGGTCTTGAGTTTTCACCATGAAGATAAAGTCCGAGCAAATCGTAAAGAAATGCCTTCAATAAGGTAATGATGAAAAACACCTTCGTTGCCAGTTATAGGAAATTAGGGTCATGCAATGGGGTTTATGCCTGGAGATTGAGACTGGGTATTCGAGGAACATCACCAAATCATAGTCATCAACATATTGTCACCACCACATTATGTGATCCCAGTAGCTAGATGCATACCATGGTCTTGACATGCGACACCACACAAGTTAAGTCCATGCCCGCACAAGCATATATTCAAATTGCAACATGTGCCAGTTGCCACCAAACACTCAAAACGACGAAGGTCATCGTATAACATGAGGTGAAGATTGGAGAGGGAGGATGGTCACAGGCACCGCCAATATCCCAATACAGGACAGTCTGGCAGTCTTGTACCGTCCTCATGCTCCACCGTCCTCCCATGTGGCGTAAAATTGATCGGCAATGCATACTCCTCGTTGCCACCGGATCTAAAGGTCTAAGACCCTTGACCCATTGCATGAACCACCTAGCATCGCAGGACCATGGCACCATCCGTGCGCCAAAGCGGAGGTCTACCTCGTTGGGACAAAGAACGATGTCGCCATCGCCTGCGTACCAGCAGGTGGGATCGCGACCACCGACGCCTCACCATTAGAAACCGTTGATCCCCAAAAACAATACAATCACTGCTGCAGAGCCGTATCCTTTGGTTCAAGTGGTTGCCGGTAGATCACATGTCACTGTCGAAGGCTACTAGAGCAAATACCTCCCCACCGCTACCTTCATTGACCCATCCCGGAATTTAGCCTGGCCACTGGTCTCTAACAACGACAAGGGGAAAGGAGAATGGGCAGGTAGGAGGCGTCGTTTGTGGGTAAGGGAGGAGGGAGCGGTTGTGAGGAGGGAGAAGGAGGGAGAGAATGCAACTCGAAGCTCAAAAGATGGAACTTGGTCAACCTAGAATGACGAGGTTTCTTGTAATCCCTACTATATACTGTTAAAATAGTTCTTGGTACTATAACCAAGAACCATTTGAGCAGTCGGATAGACTCGTTGTGATCTGTTTTGACATTTACAGTACATATTCCTAGCATGAGATTCGTCCTTGCAAATTTTGGTCAAGGTAAACGAAATGTACCATTCACCATTTGTTGTACTGTGCCGCCCTTTTAAATTCAAACTAGTGGTTGGGGCGCCACCCTGTTCCGCCGCTTAAGAGGAAGTTGTGCACACGTTTTTATCTACAAAAAGTACATAGAGTTCTCGCCTCTGTCCAAAAAAAAAATTCAGAAAAAAATTCTCACCCTCATCTAAAAAAAAGAAAAAAATTACCATCACAACCTACCAACGAGTGCCACTTTGCATAACCTTCATTTAGAAAAAATATAAGAGGCCCTCACCTCCATCTGAAAAGAAAAGGTGCATTTAAAAAATAATCCACACCTTCATCTAAAAAAGTTCAAAAGATTTCTCACCGCGGCCAACCAGCTTGCGCCATGTGTCATAGCCGGTTAGCCGCCCTTCATGCGTATCTTAATAGGTTTAATTGTAGGCTACAGTCCCCACCATCTGATTTGAGTTAACAATCATGATCTTTTATTGGGGATGGGGTTGGGGGAGATCTATGGAGGTCGAAGCAAACGTCATTCCAATATTACAATAAACTAACTTGCATTTGATGTAACTAACTAACATTTAGTCCTAGTAATAGATAACGCGTGGCAGTGCCTGACCAGATACGATTTCATATATAGCAAAAAAATTGCCCCCAAAGATGTCCTCAAATTAAACACTTTATATTAGTAAAAGAAATAGACGTGCCTTTTGCTGAGTTTTAGCACATCGTACTATATATTGTTTGTTAAGATAAAATCATAAGCATCCACATGACATATTACCAGAAGGAAGCCCCAAAATATCAAATCACAAGCATCGATGACAGAGATTACCAACAGGAATTAAAGGCAGGTGTGTACCTGAAGATGAAGGCTGTAGAACGTCCTGTTCTGGAATGCGGAAGTGGACGAGCTGATGAGGCGAAGACCTTCATTCTCCAGCACGTTGATGCACTTGGACATGGGCAGATCTCCAGCCATAGTGCTCACCAGGCTGACCTGGACCATGATATCCCTGTCGTCGATGCAGGTGGCGGACACAGTCGGAGCCGTGTTCTCCCTCATGGTCAGCACTCCTGGCTTGCAGCTGGCCCGTGTCAGCTCCTCCTTCTTGTTCTCCAGGCCTTCCACCTGCTTCTGCTGCTCCGGGATGTACTTGAGCACCCGTGACACCGTGATTGGAATGCTCAGCTTCTTCTGCAACACAGTCAATTGAAGGAAAAGATAAATTGGTTGGATGCTCATGACAGAACCTCTCCCATGTACTATATGAGAGCCACGGAGGAAGATGAATGAGTAATTACGGTGCGATCGTCTTCGGGGAGGAGGGAGCGGAGGTCGGAGTAGAGCTCGTTGAGCTCCTTGCGTCGGTCTCGCTCGTAGGCGTTGTGACTGATCTTGCGATGGGAGCCCGAGCCGTCGCCGTCGCCGCCCGAGGAGGTGCCGTTGTTGGCGGTCGGCGCCACTGGGATGCCGTGGTTTCCGAGGCCCAGCCACTGCGTGGACGGCGCGAGGTGATGATGGACGCCGGTGCCGGAGAAGATGTCCGGCTCCAGCGACGACATGCTCCTCGCGAACGGGTCCTCGAACAGCTGGTAGTGGTGCCCCATTGCAAGCCGGCAGCTCGCAGCAGCTTGCGTCTGCTTGATCGACGGGTTCGTGTGGAGAGGTTAGAGACGATGGATGAGAGAGGGAAAATCTAGCTAGCTTAACTAGCTTCCTAACCACCGAGCAATCTAGCTGCTATTGATGGCATTTTTCTTTATGAGTCACAAGAGGAAGCGGCAGTAGTAGCCTGGTAGTAGGGGAGGAGGCTCACTAATGTAATTTTATTGAGATGATTAGCATTAACTACTTCTCATGGCTGGTCTGATCTATGGAGCCCGCTTGAGCTCCCATTTATATATGCCGAGGGATGAGGGGATGTCAGTGTCACATGCCGTTATAATTTTCAGATTACTAATTTTAGGGGGAAAATTATGAGAATGAGAATAAAAATAATTTGAGAGTAAGGGTTTTACCTTGTGCTGCTCGAATATCCATGCAGAAGTTGTTAATATGAAAAAAAGCGGAAATCAAGAAATCAATGATATCATGAAATACTTATACTTTGGGGGTGTTTGTTTCCAGGGACTTTTTTGTGTAAGGACTAGAAAAAGTCCCTCTTAGAGACTTTTTTACCAAACGGGAGGGACTTTTTAGGGACTAGGCATTTGGGACTAAATGAAGAAGACTCTCAAGGATAGTCTTTTTTGGGACTTTTTGGAACTTTTCCAACAATGCCCCTCCATGCATTCAATGGCCCGCCACCCCATAGTGTTGTTTGATTGTTATTTTTCTATATACTAGGGGCAACATGGTCATTTAATAACCTCTAGGAAGGGACTAGAGACTTTTTAGTCTCTGGGAACAAACAAAGAGGGACTTTTTAGGGACTAGAGACTTTTTAGTTGGGACTAGAAAAAGTCTTAGGACTTATGAACCAAACAGGGCCTTTGTGGGAATGCCATGAGGCTAATAATTGTGGGAGTATCATATACTGATATCATGAAATTTAATACTCACTCCTTTCCGATTTATAGGGCTCAATTCAAAAATCTCTCCAACCAAGATAGATAGTGAGTGGTGGAATACTTTTTGTAATTTGCAAAAACATCCAATTAATGCTCTTGTTTTCCTCAAAAATTTATGTTTACAAATGTATTAATTGCAATGCATGCATGCATAAAGTACATGCATTGGTCAATTTTCTCTTAATACTTGCATGTAATTATTTAATGCACATTGGAATCTGAACTTGTGATGGGGAACAACCAAATTGAGCCTTACAAAATGGAAAAACTAAGATTTGGACATAAGCCTTATAAACCGGAAAAGAGAGAGTACATATTTTACAACCCAACTTTTCTTTTCGTTTAGTGAGATCGTTAATACACTGCATGCATGCAAGAAAATTGAGTGGAGGAAGTAGCTAAGTGTCATTATGGTTGCATGCTGAAAATATTAAACAAGCATGCATAGATGGCCTTGTATAGACGCAAAATGTGTTATAATGAGAATGTATCATAATAAATGTGTTATAATAAATGTGTTGATGGCCTTGTATAGATGTAAAATGTGTTATAATGAGAAAGGTAGATAATGTATCATAATAAATGTTATGCTACTCCACAAGCATGCATGCACATCATATATTATAATGAGAATGGATGAAGAGCCCTCCACATCAAGTTATTACGACAATGTAACAACTCGTTTAACATAGATTATACCAACCTAAGGAACTACTCTCGCCGAGTCCACATAGACAACCCTGCAAAGAAATTTTCTAGATCGCCCTTGAGTAGCCCTGCTTGTTTCCATAGGCAACCTTCCCTCTCGATAGTCCATATTACCTAGCTAGATGACCAATGGTGTCTCGCCATCAAAGACGATTGAATTCCCTATGCTTCCAAAACGTCGACATGCATATGATGATGAGTGCCCATCCATCCTTCCTCCTGTGGTTCTCTCCCTCTTTGTTAGCACACCACTGCCCAAGTTTGTCGTCGATCGTAGGTATCCAATCTTGCTGTCCCCAAGCGGTGCACACCACCGTCCACACCTATCTCGCAATGCATGTAAGCAAGATGTGGCCGATGGTTTCTCACTAGTATGCGTGTCCGATTTGTGATCATGCTGCTTTGTTGTTGCTCCTTGTTTGGGGTTCTAGTCCCCTGTTATGTTTTCTTTTCTTTTGAGGTTCTCTTAGTTTCAACCTTGTAAACTTGCAGTGGTTTATTTAATGAAAATTGATGGGGAGGCCTGTTGTTTCGGAAAAAATAAGGTGGAGCTGGCGACACAAGTGATGTTTACCGGGCAGCACAGATATGGCGGTCTAGGCTTGGATAGAGGCCCCTACATATTAGTTTTGTTTGTCCTTGTTTATCATTGTGCCGTTTCTATTTGTCCCCACTGCGTCATTGCATGCATCTAGTATGCAAAGGACCAAGAATAAGCTCATGTCACTGAAGTGCGGTTGTATCGGCTTGCTGTGATGATGTTTTTTGTGGGGGTTGTGACTATGTTGTCACTAAATAAATAAATTAAAATTTTCATTTATCAAAAATACTAAGTAATGCTCTATGATATATGCATTTGTCATATATATATACAACAATTTTCATGGGCACTGGTTTTTTCAAGATGGAGTCCAACTATATGTGTAATAATTCACGGTTGGCTGGCCTATATCCGCATCAAAAGATATAACATTCAAATCATCACCTCACTGTTTCAACTATCAAGGGTTTGTCCGAGGTCCCCTAAAAAAAAGGTTTGTCTGAGTTCAAGCCGTGTGTTCTCGTCAGATTTTCGGTTCCCATGTCCTTGTTTCCTAATAAAGTTATGAAGTTTTTTTTTCTGGTTTGTAAGTTGTTTTCCTCAGCACTACGTATTGCGTATGTCAGCTATCTAATGAATCTCTATAACCGAGTACTTATTTACACATTAATCTGGCAACCTATTGTTTATGTTGATGCATCATAAGTTAAATCTAGAGGATCCAGCAGCACCGGTGGTTACTGGACTAGTGGACCTAACATTTCCCTTTCCTGAAACAAAGAAGAAAGGCACGTAGCATCCAGCCCTATATTCGTGTTCGCTCTGGTTGGCACCGGACTGGATGCCCTTTTGGTTGGTCTAATCCTAGTACAATATAACGATCATCACCAAACAACTTAATTAACCGCACAATGCACTGTACATTGACCAAGTTTAAGGAGAGGAGCCAATGCATGTACTGACAGTATAGCTAGTGGGGGTAGATGCTGCGCTGGCTAGATGCTTACTTCCCAAAAGTAGATTAGTTAAGCCATCTAGATTCGCCCTTCAGGGGGATCTACGATGGGGTTTATCTTAAGTAATCGCCGCACTGACGTACTCAGACTGGGCTCGGGCTTATGTTAATGGCGCGTGGCCGGGCCGTGCCGGAGTGCGCCAGGCGCGTGGCGGGGCCGTGCCGCCGACGGGTTCCCTCCTGGGCAGCACGCACAACTGTAGGCGCTTGTCCTGGGAGCATCTGTGTGGCTCTATCCTTACGGCATCTCCAACGTCGACATGTAAACCTCTCGCATATGTTCGGATCACGCTGCCCGGACGGCGGAAGCCCTCCAATACGGGGCTGTATCGGTCCGTAGGACAGTCCAGACGTATTTTCTTCCGCCAACCGAAGACAAACGTGGAAGGATTTTGCAAGAGTCCGGACCGCTGCCACGCCCACTTTTGACCGTCCTGACCCATCTGAAATCATCACATTAACACTTGAGCTAGTCCTAAAGGCCAAACAAGGAATCTGATTTTACCATTTATACTTCTACACGTGCTAACGAGTTTTCCTCATAATCGCATATTCAAGAACCCTAGCAATTATAGCATAGAATATAAACATTGGCTATAAACTTGGAAATAAATAATACAAATATTATTGTCTCGAGCGCATAATTTTAAGAGCCTTCCATTTTCACTAGAGTCAGTATCTAGATTACATAACTTCCTTTACACCAATAGCAATCCGGTGTGTTCATGCTTTGCTCATGGTAGAGGCTTCGTAATCGGGTCTGACACATTTTGATCGGTGTGAATCTTGAGTACATTTACTAGACCTTCTTCAACATGATATCGAATCAGATGATGCTTGCATTGCATATGTCTGGACTTCTGCTGGGACCTTGGCTCCTTTGCTTGAGACACTGCATCATTATTATCACAATAAAGCTCCATGGGATTCATTGCACTTGGAACCACATCTAGTTCTTCAAGAAACTTCTTGATACAATCTGCCTCCTTCAGAGCTTTTGAAGCTGCTAAATATTCCGCTTTCGTCATATAGAATTCACAATAGTTGTTTGGTTGATACTTTTCCAAACCATGACACCACGAATGAGAGTGAAAACATAGCCCAGTTGAGATTTGTAGTCATCTGTATCAGTCATGAAGCTAGCATCGGTGTAAGCACTTACAACAAGCTCGTCATCACATTCATAGGCTAGGAGTAAATCTTTAGTCCTACTGAGGTACTTTAGAATATTTTTTAACTCCTGCGCAGTGAGCCAATCCTAGATCAGTTTGGTACCTGCTACAAACACTTAGAACATAAGAAATAATATGGTCTTGTGCATAGCAGACCATAACGGATGTGAGCATGCCGGATACACTGTTGGCAGCCACGACCATAGCGGCCTTGACCTGTGCGGACGACCACGCCACACGACTGCAGATGTTTGAATTTCGCTACAAACGAGGGTTCAAGAGATACTCCCTCACTTGTCACCTCCTATTTGAGCTTGTCATCCTCACGCAAGATGGGAGTACAATATTTAGATGGAAGCGCAGTATTTTTGTTTTCATCGTCAGCCATGGGGAAATAATTGTTGGAAATAAGCCCTAGAGGCAACAATAAATTAGTTATTATCATATTTCCTTGTTGATGATAAATGTTTATCATTCATGCTAGAATTATATTGACCAGAAACTTAAATACATGGGTGAATACATAAACAACACTATGTCCCTAGTAAGCCTCTACTAGACTAGCTCGTTAGTCAAAGTTGGTTAAGGTTTCCTAACCATA